GGTCTTCCTAATGTTCAGATTGAATCTCTTTTCTTGTACTTTGAAGCCATTGTTCCGCGTCCTAGTCTCCAGAGCAGCAGAAAACAAGTTCGCTCCCTCCTCCCTGTGACTTTCTCTTACATATTTATACATGGCTATCATCATGTCTCCCCTCAGTCTTCTCTTCTTCAGGCTAAACAGGCCCAGCTCTTTAAGCCGCTCCTCATAGGGCTTGTTCTCCAGACTCTTGATCATTTTAGTCACCCTCCTCTGGACACATTCCAGCTTGTCAATATCTCTCTTCAATTATGTAGCCCAGAATTGGACACAATATTCCAGGTGTGGTCTGACCAAGGCAGAATAGAGGGATAGCATGACTTCCCTGGATCTAGACACTATGCGCCTATTGATGCAGGCCAAAATCCCATTGGCTTTTTTTGCCGCGGCATCACATTGTTGGCTCATGTTTAATTTGTTGTCCACGAGGACCCCAAGATCTTTTCCACACGTACTGCTCTCCAGCCAGGCATTGCCCCTCATTCTGTATCTTTTCATTTTCATTTTCACCTTCTCTTCTCCTCCTTCACCCCTTTACCTTCTCCTTCACTTTCTTCCCCCCTTCTCCTTCTTCTCTTCTCTTCTTATTCTCCTTCACCTTTTCTTCTTCTTCTTCTTCTTCTTCTTCTTCTTCTTCTTCTCCTCCTCCTCCTCCTCCTCCTCCTCCTCCTCCTCCTCCCCTTTACCTTCTCCTTCACCTTCTTCTCCTTCTTCTCTCCTTTACCTTTTCCTTCACCTTCTCCCTTTCTCCTCCTTCTTTTCTTCTCCTTCTCCCCTYCACTTTCTCCTTCACCTTCTTCTCCCCTTCTCCTTCTCACCCTTACCTTCTCTTCTTCTCCCCTTTACCTTCTCCTTCACCTTTTTCTCCTTCTCTTCTTCTTCTCTCCTTTACCTTTTCCTTCACTTTCTCCCTTTTTCCATCTCCTTCACCTTCTCTTCTTCTCCTTCTCCCCTTTGCCTTCTCCTTCACCTCTTTCTCCTTCTCTCCTCTCCTTATTAGTTGTTGTTACGTGTGTCATAAAACATACATTACTAAAACATTAAACCTTTAAAACCACCCACAAATGCATCATACAGTGTGATGAGGCAATAAGTCAAGGCAAGATGTTGTATGCATTCAAGGCATTTTTATATATGACTACCACAGAAGAACCTGTCATAGGATTTTCTGGGGCTGAGAGTGTGTTACTCTCCCAAGACCACCTAGAGAGTTTTCATGGCCAAGCCATGATTCAGTCCTATTCTCCAGAGTCCAAGGCTCCAACAACCATTCCACACTGGTCCTCCAAGGATAGATGCCTTGGTGGATATCTTGTCATGGTAAATTGGATAGTACTAATGTTATCATGCACCTAAAGGCACCAGATCCTATATGATCTTGGAAACTAAGCTGGTTAGTAATTGGACAGGAGACTGACCTCAAATACCAGGTGCTGTATGGTATAATTTAGAGGAAAGAACTGGCAAAACTATATCTGGATATTACTTGTCTAAGGCTGGATCTACATCGTCCTGTGTCCCACATTATATTCTTATCCAAGATTATCTGGCAGTGTAGACTCATAATCTGGTTCAAAGCAGATAATCTGGGATCAGATCCTGGGATATAGGGTAGTATAGTCCCAGCCTAAGAAAACCCCATGAGGTTCTTGGAGCCGGCACATACACAACACGTTACCAGGACCATTACAGGAGCTCTCCAAAGTGCTGAACCCTGTCCCACCACCAGGTTCAATCTCTTGAATAGCTTCTTTCAAAAGTAGTCTAAAACCCAGAGAAGATTCACTGCTCTCTGGTGATATTTCCAGCTGCTGAATTCCTCCTAGTTCTACCATTTCATTTGACCTAGAGTTTAAGCCTTATATATTTGCAGAGGTGAAGTTCACCTAGACATGAGGAAGAATTTGGTGGTGGAAAGAGCTGTTCAACAATGGGATATTCTGCCTAGGAGTGTGTCGAGGTCTCAGATGTGCTTTGATTATGTGTTCCTACATGACAGAATGGGGTTGGAGTGGATGGCCCTTGGAGTCTCTTACAACAGTATGATTCTGTGAGGGTGTATTTACTTCAAATGGAACAACTGCAGTCCTTCTTCACCCTTCACAAACTGTAGTGCAGCTGAAAAGGCATCCTGATTTACCGCATGCATTGTGTAGGTTCCACCTTAGATGCTCAGCAATACCTTCTCCCAAGTGAAAACTGAGTCAAGCCTGTTTGGGAGAACAGATAGCCACAGCTGAGTGGGTGGCTAGGAATTCTAGCAGATCTGTGGCTACGGGACAGACCCTTTCTCACTACAAAATTATAGTGTTATGACTTCACTTCAACTGACATGACTACATAGTATAGCAGTCTTGCAGTTTATTCAGAGGGAAACAGAATCTCTCTGACTGACAACCCTAAATTTGTTGTTAACTGCACTGAAGTCAACTTTGACTTATGTGACTGTTGAAATGAAACCTCCAAGGGTGCATCTGCACTATATAATTAATGCAGTTTGATACCTCTTGCCATGCCTCGATGCTATGGAATCATGGGAGCTGTAGTATTATGATGTCTTTTGTCTCCTCTGTCAAAGAGTAGTGGTCCCTCACCAAGCTAAAGATCCCAGGATCCCACAGTTTTGAGCTATGGCAGTTAAAGTTGTCTCAAACTGCATTAATTATACAGTGTAGATCAGTGGTTCCCAACCTGTGGGGTAAGGTCTGTAGCTCTAGACTATTAAATATGGTTTCCTGTGATTGAGCAGGTGGCGACTACTGGATGGCATATGTTCTGTATCAGAAGCTAGAGCTGATGTGATCTATCCAATGCAGTTTTCTGAATCAGCACCCCAAATAATCAAACTAAATCTAAAGTTGGCCAAAAACTGATTTGTAACCTTTTTAGTACTAAAGTTGGAGAGTGGTCCCTGGCCAAAATGTCTCTGGTCAAGTGGTCCCTGGCCAAAGTGTCCCTGGTCAAGTGGTCCCTGCCCAAAGTGTCCCTGGTCCGGTGGTCCCTGGCCAAAGTGTCCCTGGTCAAAGTGGTCCCTGGCCAAAGTGTCCCTGGTCATGTGGTCCCTGGTCAAAGTGTCCCTGGTCAAGTGGTCCCTGGCCAAAGTGTCCCTGGTCCGGTGGTCCCTGGCCAAAGTGTCCCCGGTCAAGTGGTCCCTGGCCAAAGTGTCCCCAGTCAAGCAGTCCCTGGTCAAAGTGGTCCCTGGTCAAATGGTCCCTGGCCAAAGTGTCCCTTTCTCAAGTGGTCCCTGACCAAAGTGTCCCTGGTCAAGTGGTCCCTGGCCAAAGTGTTCCTGGTGAAGTGGTCCTTGGTCAAAGTGGTCCCTGGTCAAGTGGTCTCTGGCCAAAATGTCCCTGGTCAAGTGATCCCTGGTCAAAGTGGTTGGTCAAGTGGTCCCTGGTCAAAAAGAAAAGGCTGGGAACCACTGGTGTAGATGAACCCCACGTCACCTTTTCCTCTTACATGCTTGAATATCTTCATCTGGAATGTGATTGTCTTGTTTCCCTACTAGATTCCACCTTATTGAGCTTTATTATCTTTTCAAGTGAATCTGTCTTCTTATGATGTAAATTAAAATATGTCAGTCTCATTTATTCATTTTGTCTTCTAGGGAGAGTTCAGGTTTGTTTTGCTCTTGTACCCATTCATTTAGCAGTCCATACTGTGTGTAGAACTCTTCTCCAGCACTAAATTTCAAATGAGTTGATTTTTTTTAGTTTAATCATCCTGGTTTTACACATCTATAATCTATAATTTTCACTATTTTGCTTTAACTGTTGATATTAAAGTGGGATCACAGTGCAATAATTGTGTTGTGTAAAAGAATTTGTTGGGCTGCGCTTCCTGTCTGCCCAGGCAGCATAGCCAATGGTCAGTAATTCTGGGAATTACAACCCAACAGTCTCTGGAAGGGCAAATAATTCCCAGCCTAGAAATCAAATCAGTATGTAAGAAGGGGAGTGCTAAAGCCACTTAGAAGTAAGTATTCATCTGCATTGGGGAGGGGACAAACAGAGGGTGAAAGGAAGACCCAATCAAATCTGAACTATGGATGTAAATGGGGGAAAGGCTTGGCTCTCTCCAGTTCTTTGGCTCTAAGACTTAAATGCTGCAGGCTACCTCCAGTACGGAGACATGGGGCACGTTTCCAGTGTGGAACTCATACAGTTTGACACCATTTTAACTGCCCTGGCTCAGTGATATGGAATCCAGGGATCTGTTAATTTGATGAGGCACCAGCACTTTTTGCCAGAGAAGGTTAAAGACCTCGTAAAACTACAACTCCCATACTTCTATAGCATCTAACCATGGCAGTTAAAAGTCAACCAACTGCAGTTCATTCTACAATATAGGTGCACCCCATGCTTATGAATGGGCATTCTTTACCCATAAATGGTTTTGAAATACTCTAACAGGAAAATTGTGTTGAGTTATTTACATTTAGTTATACTTAGAGCAACTCCATTCAAATAAGTGAGGCTTAAAATCAGTCATAAACAATGGGTGAGTTCCATTGATTTCACAGTCTTCCTTTGACTAAGGTGTGTCTACACTTTTGAATGAATGCAATTTAATATCACCTTAACTGCTTTGGCTCAATGCTGTGAAATCACGTATGTTGTAATTTCATGAGGCACTAGCATTCTTTGACAGAGAAACGCTGAGCCAGGGTAGTTCAAGTGGTGTCAACCTGCAGTCACTGCAATTAAATGAGGATTTAATTGCAATTCCTATAGAATCCCATAGAATCCTCTGGATTTGGTGGGGCACCAAGCAGGCTGACAACCTGATAAAACTACTACTCCCAAAATTCCATAGCATTGAGCCATGGCAGTTAAAGTGCTGTCAAACTGCATTCCTTCCACAGCATAGATGTATCCTACGTGTTACAGAACAGGAGTGTCGCTATGGGGGCAATACAAGCATTAATTTCCAAATATAATGCAGGGCTCCTTTTTTCCTTCCAGAGGCCTCTGCTTCAAAGGAGCGGCGCTTTGTCTTCGACATCTCCAGCCTGCCTGAGGCGGACGAGGTAGTAGGAGCTGAGCTACGGGTCCTGCGCAAAGCCCCCGAAAACCAGAGCTTGGCTTGGTCACAGGAAGGCCTTTTCCACCGCCTCATCCTTTCCACTTGTGACAACGATGACCAAGATGGAGAAAATGGAGGTGAAGATGGTGACCGGAAGCTCCTGGACTCTCGGGCAGGAGACACTGTGGAGGCAGGTGATGCCAGTTTGCCTCGCTGGGAGGTGTTTGATGCTTGGGCTGCCCTGAGGCACAGCCAGAGACCAAGGGCGCTTTGTTTCCTCCTCAGCCTGGTCTCAGAGAGCTCAGGAAGGCTGCTGCCTCCAGGGCAAATGGGCTTTGGCTTGGAGGAGCTGCCACTGCCACATGAGAGGGCCCTGCTGGTGGTCTTTTCACGGGCGAAGCGGAAGGAGAGCCTTTTCAAGGAGATCCGCGAGAAGGCCAAAGGGGGCTTGGGGCCTGAGGGTCTCTCTCCAGAGCCAGCCAAACAGAAAGCAGTGGCTGCAGGACGTCGGAGGCGGCGCACCACTTTGGCGGGCCGGGCTTCGGCCTCTTCCTCCTCTTCTTCATCTTCATCAGGGTTGCGTAGTCCAGGTAAAAAGGCTAAGAGTCGCTGCAGCCGCAAGGCCTTGCATGTCAACTTCAAAGAGCTGGGCTGGGATGACTGGATCATTGCACCGCTCGACTATGAGGCCTACCACTGTGATGGTGCTTGTGACTTCCCGCTCCGCTCGCATCTGGAGCCCACCAACCATGCCATCATCCAGACCCTCATGAACTCCATGGACCCTGATGCTGCACCACCCAGCTGCTGTGTGCCCTCCAAGCTCAGCCCCATCAGCATCCTCTACATCGACGCTGGCAACAACGTGGTTTACAAACAGTATGAGGACATGGTGGTGGAGAGTTGTGGCTGCAGGTAGCGCTGCCATTTTCAACTCTCCTCATACTCCTCACCCTTCAAGGCCTCCCAAGGAGGTTCTCTTAGGTCTGCTCTCCACAGGATTTGCCTTGCTGAGAGGGGTGACTTGCGATGTCCTGACCCTTTGAGGCAGAAGGAGAAGAGTTGTTGGGCTCAGTAGCCTCCCTTTCCAAGGCTGCAGCTGCTACTGACATTTTTCTCATGCTCTCATCCCCACAAAGGTGGTTTGGGCAAGCGCCATCCACCCGTACCACTCCACATCCCAGTCTTGCTTTAGCTACCCCACCAAAAGGGCACTTTAAAAGGAAGGATGAAGAAAGAACAGAACAAAATTTGCTATGAAATGGATGAAGACAGAAAGAACGAGGGCATGGGATTACAGTCACCTGAATATATTGACTTTCCATGACAATTCTCCAGAATATTCTTGCTTTCGCACTTGGCTGGGAGGGTAGCTGAGGGGATCAAATTGTGGGATTAATCTACAGGGGTGGGTATTTCCCCAAACTTTTAAAAAGTAAATATTTCACCCAGTTAGTCCTTATTTGGACTGCAATCAATCCCATATGCCACTCATGGTTCTGGAGAGTATTCTTGTTTGCATGGAGTCCTCTGGACACCAAGCCTGGAACCCATCAAATACATTGTTTTGGTTTAGGGGAAGATTAGGGTTGCATCTACACTGCAGTTTGACATTACTTTAACTGACATAGTGAGGTCCTAGCACTCTTTGGCAGAGAAGGCTACAGATTTCCCATGTATTCCATGGCATTGAACCATGGCAGTTAAAGTGGAGCCAAATTGCATGAATTCTACAGTGTAGATATACTGTAAGATTGAAGAACAACTTTCTTTGAAGGCTTTTGTCACATTGCTCATCCCTGATAAAGCCTCAGCTGGAAATTAATTGAAAATCACTGGCCTCTCTTTTCCATTGTCTTATAGTCTCTTACACTATGCCACTTTTATTGATTTTGTATATTTTTTTCCCTCAGAAAAGTGATTACTACAATCACTTTATCTCCTTCTGGCAAAATGTCTATTAACCTATGGAACTTAAGACCCCCCAAATATTATTAGGTCCTCATCAGTTGAATCAATATGATGGATGGAAAGGGAATTGTAGTTCAATATGTGGAAAGCCACAGGTTCCTTACTTTTAAAAATACAATCATACAGGTTTAGTGAGAGCTTAGGCTCACTGTGTTCAATGCAACCCATTCCAAGGAAGTGTCTCTAGGATTGTTGCAATCTGAAACATATGCACAAAGATGTATCCGATTGCTTGTCAACAAATTATCTTGAAGATGTAAGTCCAAAATTCTTTGTGCACATGGTTGGCTGGTATCACTGAACACAGTACAGCTTTTGAGTAAACATGAAGAAGATTGCATTTTATGTGACCCAACTACAAATTCCCTGCCAGAATGGTTCCCAGGCAGCACTAGAGACTACAAATGCTTGATTCTCTCCCACTCTGTGTTGACAAAAAGACTGATTTGGAGGATGAAGCTCCACTGACCCAGCCAGTGTCTGTAAGTCTCAGAACTACTCTGTCCTCCAGATGATCCTCCTGGCCTTAAAGTATCATTTGCTACACAACACCTTCCTTTTTCTTAGGGAGTTAAGAGTCCAAATTATGATGTTACTGCCTTCTCACCAAGGGCTTGACAGTCCTTGATCGAGTACTCTTCCATACTTGGGGACTGACTCAAAAATCCCAAAGAACATAACAAGTAATTGTGTAATCCTTGTCTGTTTTTCTCAGCTCTGAAAACATTTTCACTTCTTATATCACATATGGTTTTCTTCTTAACCTCATCTTGATTAATATTCATTGAGGCTGCCAATGGGTGGAGAAAATTGCTTTTTGGGCCAGATTTAGCTCTGAGGCTGGTAGCTGGTCATTCTTACTTTAAATATTGAAACAAGTTCCTTTACCATAGATCAGGCATATACCTTCTAAGAACTGGTTTGCATAACACGTTGGGCTGAAGGCCACAAGGAATCCACCTCTCTCCCCTGCTCTGCTGCTGACAAGATTACATAATACTACTAGCAAAAAGTCCATTCTTGTTGAGGGTGTATATATGAAAAAATGGGTAGTGCAAAAACATCTGCGTGTTCCTATTGCAAATCCTTGCCTCATCCATAACTTTGTGGTAGGGAGTATGTTTCATATGCAGAAGGTCTCAAGTAATCTTCATGTAAGACTGGGAAAGTGTTTTTTTTTCAAACTTGGAAAACCCTGTGCCAATCAATGTTGATAAATCGGACGAGCTAGATGAAGCCATAGTCCAAATCTACATAAGATTATGCATGTTATCCTTGACATTGATGTGTCTGAGCTATTCATGGTTGGATTTGGAGAGGTTTTGATCTGAAAGCAACATTGCTCCCCAGGGGAGTGGGTCAGTGGGCAAATTCCTAATTTATTTAGGAATATAGGAAACTGCTTTATACCAAGCAAGACCATTGGTACATATTACCCCCTACACTGACTGGCAGTAGCTCTCCAGGTTTGTAAACACAATGGCCTTCTAGTCTCAGCTGGAAAAGATGAAAGTTAAACAAAACCCAGATGTTATACATGCAAGGCTACCATTAAGATCTTTCTCTTCCTTTGGGTTTGAATGCAGCTTAACACCACTTTAACTGCCCTGTTTCAATGCTATGGAATAAAGGGAGTTGTAGTTTGGTGAGAGAAGCAGAGAAAGCTAAAGAACTTGTAAAACTACAGATCCCAAGCTTTGAACCCATGGCAATTAAAGTGGTGCCAAACTGCATTCAATCCACAGTGTAGATGCATTATTAGAGCAGGACATTTGCTAATTGAAAGGGCTGTTTGAATTTGGTATAACCGAGTGCAATTATTGCATGATCATGTGATTTTTTTTTAAGAAATGTAACTTTCACTTAAAAGAATAGATGTCAAGCAAAAAGGACTGTATTTTCTTGTGAATGCATGTTTCTGTTGCAGAACATTTTAAAAAAATGTTTGATGAGCATCCAGTGGCAGATATTTCACCTTCTATAATCTGAACTGTTATCCTATAGAATTTTAGACAGGATTTGTTCTTTAAGTAGATTGGGCCCAAGGCTGAACACCTAAAGTATATTCAATAGGAAATATGAGACTTGAGCATAAGCAAAGTCAGACTGTTAGGCCATAATTCTGAACATCTTTCCTTGCTCATTTCCTTAAAATCAACAGTCATGGGTTAAGGTAAAGGTTTCCCCTTGACATTAAGTGGACAATGCTGGCTCTTTGTCTTAGAAATGGAGATGAGCACCAACCCGCAGAGTCGGATATGACTGGACTTAATGTCAAGGAAGACCTTTACCTTTTATAAGTACTCTATGTGTCTCTTTGTGTTGGACAGTATGTTGGCTGTCTTTCCTTGATGCACAATTTTCAACTGAGTTGGGTTCCACTGAAATGAAAAGGGATCACATCCAAATGCCCAAGCCATATGTTGTAACTAATATGTTTAAATATTTAATTGGTGGTCTGGAGGCATTAAAAATCATAGTTATGTCAAATTGATATTCCAGTCTTCAGTGTATAGTATGAGTCCAGTATTTGTGAGGGATACATTCCTGGACTTCGTCTTGTTCTATAAACTAGATAATAAAAATGTTATTGGAATTGAGGACTTCTAGCCCAAGAATACCAGAGAACCTCAAGGAAGGACCTAGAATTAATATCCATTAAAATATATGTTGATACTGGCATATGTGGCCATTGCCGATGATCCTTTCTGGATGTGGATCTATGCCCACCATTCTGTTGCTCCTGTCCTCACTAAACTGCCTCAGTGAATCACTGGATCTGGAGTTGGGGACATACATCCTTTTTATTTGTGGCGTGAAATGTATAGCTGGTTGAACATAATTAAACTGGATCTGGATTCATACTCACTTCAGGGCAAATTATCCAGAGACTTTGTTCTTGCCAAAACTTTGCATAATTAATCATTCTAAATGGAGTGCAGAGATTCTAATCTGGTCCTCCATTTCTCTGTCTGCTCGAACAGAAACAACATTGAAAGGAAGGTGGAATGAAACTGTAAGGCCCATTGAAAATTCCCTAAAACAGATATTTTGGAAGAGAACTGAAAATTTTCTACACCGTAGAATTAAAGCAGTTTGACACCACTTTAACTGCTATGGCTTAATGTTGTGGAATCATGGGAGTTGTAGTTTTACAAAGTTTTTAACCTTCTCTGCCAAATAATGTTACTGTCTCACCAAACTACTAATGGCAAATTTTAAGAACTACGGGTTAAGAAAATATAGGATATTCAAGACTCCTCTTTTCCATTAACAATGTTTCATGGTTGTAATCTAATTTAAGAAATTACCTTTTCACAGAATAGGAAATTGTGACCCCATACATTTTATCAATAAATAAATCTACCATTTGCCCACTCTAAAAGTATTAGGTTAAATCCTGTGCAAGCATGCCTTTTATTTTACCTCTTCCCTTCCAATATCCTTGTGCTGGTTGAACTGCTGACCTGGAAGTCGGCAGTTCAAATCCACGAGATGGGGTGAGCTCCCGTCTGTCAGCCCCAGCTCCCATGCAGGGACATGAGAGAAGCCTCCCACAGGATGGTATCACATCCAGGTGTCCCCTGGGCAACGTCTCTGCAGATGGCTGATTCTCTCAAACCAGAAGCGACTTGTACTTTCTCAAGTTGCTTCTGACAAGATCAAAATACCTTCTGTGTTGCAGCATAATACAGGGGGAAAATGTTTTCTTTCCCTCCCCACCCCAGTTATGATCATAGGATTCGTTTAAGGCTTACGTACATTGTAAGAATATGGAAAGGGCTTGGGTGCTATGTGTCTGATCTTGCTGACTTTGATGCTCACGTAAGATCAGCAGATTTATATTGAACCGGATTATCAGTGCAACCTACTTACCATAATTGAGGCAAAGCACCTTTTGATTTTGAGAGAAGTTGGACTCCATTTCCATGAATGTATGCTCCTGATCTGTCAGGGGTGATTTGAATGCAATATTCCTGCTTCTTGGCAGGGGGTTGAACTGGATGGCTCATGAGGTCTCTTCCAACTCTTTGATTCTATGATATAATTTCACAGTATCATCTTGTCTTGGAGAACAGCGTGGTTTGGTGGTTCGAGCCTTAGACTCTGGAGACCAGGGTTTGAATCTCTCCTCAGCCATGAAAACCCATTGGGTGACCTTAGGTGAGCCACACACTCTCAGGCCCAGGATACCCCATGATAGGTTCCTCTTAGGGTCACCAAAAGTTGGAAATAACTTAAAGGCACACAAACAACAACAGCATAATATTTGCTGTTGTTATTTGTATGCCTTTAAGTTTTTTCCAACACAACAACAGCAGAATATCAGGAGCCACGGTGGCGCAATGGGTTAAACCCTTGTGCCGGCTGAACTGCTGACATGGTCTCATCTGGCAGTTTCAGCTTCCCATGCGGGGACATGAGAGAAGCCTCCCACAGGATGGTAAAACATCTGGGCACTCTCTGGGAAGGGTCCCTGCAGATGGCCAATTCTCTCACACCAGAAGCAACTTGCAGTTTCTCAAGTTGCTTCTGACACAAAAAAAAGAGAATATAGGTTAGCACCCACATTAAATTGATTTGACTGGGGATGAAACAATTCGGAAAAGAGATCGGAAGTTACTGTTTTTGCTGCTGTCCCATGCTTTGCAAATGGTACTACAACCCATGGAGAAGTGTTAATTAATAACATGTCAGTGGAATAATTAAGTCCATATGAGTACATTTGATAAGGAAAAGGACATAATAGGAAAAGAATTCTTGGAGAAAGCTCTATGACATTTTGTCACAAGTGTTACAGCTGTACAAAGATTTAGTTGTTGAAAGGCAAAGCCTGATTAATGATAGAGTCGCCAGTTAGTCCTAAATGGCCTAGGACATGGTTAGGTGTGTCTCAATAACACACAGCCCACAAATCTACCTCGGAAGAAAGCTACTTCACACTATTTGAGTTTCTTGCATGTTTGTCGTTTGCCACTTTAGGCACACAAACTTGTATGATATATCCTAAACTCAAAGCGAACAATATGCAGTTTTTATGTAATGTTCTATGTGTGACTCATTGGAATCAATGGAATTTAATGCTTAATGTTTTATCAACTGTCCTGTAGGATGGTAGGTCTTCTAGGGCAGAGGTGAGCAAAGGTCTACTCAACAGAACCAGTGGGAGGAATGCTGGGATTTGCAGTTGAAAACACCAGAAGAGATGTACTCCTTTATCATTTAGCCATATATAAATATGTGAGGGGAAGTCATAGGGAGGAGGGAACAAGGTTGTTTTCTGCTGCCCTGGAGACTGGGACAATGGCTTCAAACAGCAGGAAAGGAGATTCCACCCGAACATTAGGAGAACTTCCTGAGAGCTGTTCAGCAGTGGAACTCTCTGCCTCAGACTGTGCTGGAGGCTCTCTTTGGAGGCTTTTAAGCAGAGTCTGGATGGCCATTTGTCAGGGGTGCTTTGAATGCAATTTTCCTGCTTGGTGAGGGTTGGACTCGATGGCACACGAGGTCTCTTCCAACTCTATGGTTCTATGATCTCTATGACTATAGTCTAGAGGTGTCTAGACTGTAGTCATGTCTATGGTAGACCAGGACTTGCTAGATCATATAAACAAACAAATAAATAAACAGTTGTTTTGGAGAACTGTTATTCAGATAAAGCTGCTACCGGATCCATATGCAAACCTTTAGGCATGTCTAAAGAAGCCTTTTTGAAATAAATGGAGGTACAGGAATGTAACCCATACATTTTGCCAAATTCACTGAGTTCTTGAACCCTTGCCAAATTTTCAATACAACATTGTGAAGGTCAAGATAATAACAGCATCCTAGCTTAACCCAGTATGTAAAAACCTATGCCTCGCTTGGTGTCCTCTCCCTGCTCCCAGCCCCTTAACACACATTGGTTGGAATTCACCATAATTGTATTGACTTTAGCGGAGATATGCCTGATTTACTGTGGGATTGGAATGAGATCCCATGGATGTGTTGTTAAATAAACAATCTTGTAACTTCTCTCGAAATATAACCAGAGGGAAGAGTGCAAAAATACCTAGTGTTTAAAAATAGAGCTGCACATCTTGACACTTTTTTAACATTGTCTTGTTCCAAATACTTTTCCTCTAACCTTGGCCAGACCTCAGGAATGCCCCCATAGTTAAGAAGTTCTGTTTAAAAGCCTTGCACTGTGCTTATCTTTTTTTTAAAAAAATCATAGGTATTTTCTCCTGTAGCTTTTTATCAGTGGTGTATTTCTGCAAAGTGCAGCTACTGTTTTCCTCGAAAGCTGTAGGAAGAATGTTTGCAAATCAAGCAGCTGACCATTAGGTCCTGAAATGTAGGCTTAGGATCCAAAGCTGTTGGCAACACTTGCATCTGAATATCTAAACTGTTATTTCTTAGTTTTTCTTTCATTGTTATCAAGAAACGTTTTTGCAGGAAGCAGGTTACATTCTTACCGTTTCATGTTTTTAATGACCCCAGATATGTTTGTCCAACTAGCAAAGCGAATGCATTTACTGTTGCCCTGTCCTGAAAGACTCCCCAAAAAAGCTTTTGCAGTTTTACCAAGACAACAACACTCCATGCACACAAATCCACATAATTTATAGTTTTCCACATGTTGCATTGAAAAGCAGAAATCATTCTCCCTTTCTCTCCTACTGTTTCTTTTTTCATTCCCCAAAACTATCATTTACTGTATTTTCCACTTGTTTGTATAGAGGGGAAAATGTCAATTTTTGTGGGATTTGTTTTTTTGGATTGGAAAAAAAATGTCTGG